AATTAATCGATATTAATCGCAATATTGACAGAAACTAGGGGTAAAGGTTTGGAACGTGCGTTAAAGCGACACTTCTACTAGAGCATTACATAAAAATCCGTGTTTTTAGTGTTATTATTAATTTTCTTTAATTAGAGACAAAAAATTAATTGTAAAGATATATGTATTACAAGCATTAGTATTGGCAAAAATTTTGAACATATACTTCCTAAATGCTAATGCCAGATTGAAAAGAAAAACTATATCATTTCCATATGAATTAATAATATCATATTAACCACATTTTAACGAAGAAAAATATAGTATAAAATGCGAAACATATAATACAAATAATAATTAGTATATATTATGTATGCGCACAAAGGTGTTATTACAGAAAAAGGTTGTGATCAATATTATATATATATATATATATATTAGTATATATATCTATATGTACTACGCTCACCTCTTCCATCTGTATGTAATACGATTTCTGTCAAACAAGGACTAAGTAACCATAACTACTTCTAATAGAATTCATCAATCTATGCGTTCATTCACGGTGTTTAATAAAAATACACAATCGTTTTACCTTTTTTGTTGAGTGATCATATTAAATTCCTTTTATATTGATGTATAATTGTAATTAAAATATTGATATATTGTTATTTTTTAATTATAATTATAGTCAAATATTAAAAATATTGTTGTATAGTAAAAAGAATGGGAACAGAAGAGATGGCGATATTAAGGTCATGACCCCTATTTCTAATCATGTAGGAGTTCTGCTATTGCAGAAATTGATTATTATTATTTATTTATGCAACAATCTATAAAAAAAATTGTTAGATATAAAATTGAAACCTCCTTTTATAATTAAGTTTAAATAAATGTATTTTAAAAAACATTTTAACTTAATAATAATTAATTTAATATGAAGTATAAAATGTTTCTATTTCTATTCAGCGAAAATGGATGTGCCAAAGTCAAAATTTTGGGGAACAATATAAAGATTCCGTAAGTTTTTTTTAGTAAAAACGCAGCGTCCACGTTGTAACACACGATCACCACGGAACCGATCAAATCACGTTTCTTTGCGACGGGCACATTTATTAAATTTATTTCTATTAAAATGCTGCCGTCTATCGAACAACGAGCTGTAGCATTTTGTGCGGAAGTACTGAACTAATTGAAATAATTTTTTGTATAATTATCTTATTATTTAACTTTTTGCATTAAATAAAAAATATACGTATTGAGCAGAAATCGGGACGTCATCAGGAATAGGTACATCGACCTTAGATGGAAGTATTAACGAAATACGTTTTTATATGTTTAGCAAATATGTCAAACCAGCGAAATCATCTTTGTTTATGTAATACGAATTAAGAGAAGAATAACCGAATCTCTTGGTAGTTTATTACTTATCTACTGTCAAAGCATCATTTATCAAGTAGAGTTTTCCTGTATGACTGGTGTGGCCAAACTCTGTCAAGATAGGAGCCATATATCGCCTATCACAAATACTCGAGAGCCGTATCCTCTATTGGAATGGTATTAAATTGTGTGTATATCACGCTGCATAATAAAGTCAGTAAACTTACAAAAATATTACATATATGTGTATGTAGTATACTGTCAAGTTTATAAAAAGATATTGTATAAATATACGAGAGCCGCAGTAAGGATGTAGAAGAGTTGTATGCACCGAGTTTGGCTACCGTGTCTATATTATGACTATATTATAAATTAAGTTCAGAAACGCAAACTGTATTAGTTCATAAGAAAAATATTATTTGTAATGTGCAGTGTAATCTTTGATGTACGAGGTGCATCCACAAAGTAGGGTCTTTCAGTTGTCGGACAACTCCTTTGACAATTTTTAATACATTTTGCAGTATTAAAGGAAAAAAATGTTTAATCATGGTGAACATTTTCCGTCAGTGACATCGACCAGTTGAGGTAGAAACACATCAATATCACGTCACGTGAAATCACAAACTATCACATTGCATACATATTTACATATTAATATTTGCGAACAATGTGACGTGATTATAATTTGTTTCCAACCAATTTAAAACAATAGATATACTTCGGCTCACATGAATGTCACGTGAAATCACGTAATAGCGTGTGATTTCACGTGACGTGATCTTAATGTCTTCCTACATTCTGTCACTTCTGTAATCAATCCATCATCATTTTGAAATGCTGATGCATATTGTGAAACCTTAAACAAAATTAGAAGCGCCATTCAGAACAAAAGATCAATCTCTGTTTCAATCTCAGCGTATTAAAAATGATCACGAACTGATGATAGGAGTGATAAACTGACTGAAGTAACTGGCGGAACATTTTTTATGCTACTTTAAAAAAGCAGGTGCAATGATACACCAAATGCGTGAAAGTCAATGGCAACCACATATTTGGTAAAATAAGATATATGTATAATGTAGGTATTGTTCGCCATGTTTCAATATGATTTTTTCTTTCAGTGCTATTTTTAATTGCTGACCGAACCTTACTTTGTGGATGCGCATCGTATAAATGTAGGTAAACTTCTAGGAGATATGAATTACTAAAGACTGCACATATAAATGTAAGAATAAGATTTGCGTTATACATATATATTTTCGTATACTGTACACTGTGGAAATAAGTATTGTAAAATAAATTAAAAATTGACAAAGTACCGAAAGACAAGAGTTCAACTCCTAGTATAGTACAAGTCGGTCAAAAATATGACGATTATGGGAATATAAAATTGATAGAAAAACTTACTAAGTGACACTACAAAATATGAAAGCAAATTTAATTTTCTTAATACAAAAAAAGTTGATAGAAGTTGTCGGAAACTTTCGCCAATTCCTCGAGACGATTGTACACTTCCTCCAATCATTATTTAATTTTACCATTATGTGTTTTTTAAATAAATAAGGATGTCTACTTCATTCTACTTCTTCTACCATTAGTGAAAGTAGTTTTACGTTCAATATATAGTGTCGGGCAGAAGTATCGATACACTGGTGACTTATCAGTATTCTTTTCATTGCAACACCAGGTTAAATATTATTTCCTCGAAACTGTGACAGTGACACCAGCATTGTCAATTGATTATAAGTAGGCTGCGGATCTTTGTGCAAAATGACATTTTATAAAGTAATTCACGAGGATAAGAATAAAAGTAGGAATTTCCTTTTTCCTTTAAGTATCTTATTAGGTTAAAAATAAAGTAGAAACCTCGTTACATCCGATGAAACTTTTGTCTTTTATTGTATTTCATAGAGTCCTGTAAGCTATAAATGCATAAAATCCGCAGTCTAGTTATAAGATTCGGTGATGTATAATATTTCTTTCTCCCACTATTGATAACTCTCAATACAGACGTTCCGTTTGGTTTTCAAATACTCCTTGCCAGCGGTAAACTTTACAGAAATATTTTAGTTGCCAACGGTAGATTTTACAAAAATATTTTAGTCTACAAAGTTTCTGTTTGTTATTGACACACTTTTTGCCAGCAGTAGACTTTACAGAAATATTTTCGTCTGGGTTAGGTGTTTCTGCTTGTTATTGAGCATCTCGTTCGGACCACGGTGGGTCCCCCGCGAGCCATCGAGCCTGCGGGCGTCTTGATAATAAAAGACGTCGGGAAAGTTAGTGGGGCGTGTAGCCGTATCCCGTATCCGGCGAAACTGCATGCCAAGAACAATTGCAGCTTCTGTCATGCCACCAGCAACAATGGAGCATCATTGTGGGACTGGTGGTCACCGAGCCTTCTACGTGTTAAGAAGTAAAAATGAAAGCCTTAGTTTATATTTAACAGTTACTTTGCATAAAAATGGACACCAAGGAAACTAAACTGAGCTGGAATTTTCTTTGTTTAGATTTTTGAAAGAATTTTGAATTTTGAATTCAGAAAGGATTGAGAATTCTGCAACGGTTTAGAATTTTGGAAGGATTTAAAATTCTGAAAGGGTTTAAAATTATGAAACGAAGTAGAATTCTGGAAGGATTTAAAATTATGAAATTATTTGAGCTTGCTGTTTATTAAACATTTAAAAGCGAATGTGCTCTTACGAGCTCAAATATTTGATTCCCCTATAATAGGTGCTGTAGTTTTTGTGCAGAGTAGTATAAAGCACAACAGTGCAAGTTCGTGTTACAATCTTCGATTCTAACAATAAGTGTTAAGAAGTGGAAATGAAAGTCTTAGTTTCACTCTGACACTTAGTACCAACTCTGCATAAAAATGGACATCAGGGAAATTGTAAACTAAGTAGAAATTTTCTTTGTTTAGAATTCTTCAAAGAATTTTGAATTTTTAAATGATTTCAATTTTTAAAACGATTTAGAATTCCGAAAGTATTTAAAATTATAAAAGGGGCAATATTGTGTTTACCGTTAAATAAACATTGAAAAGCGAATGTGCTCCTACGAGCTCAAATAATTGATTCATCTATATATCACCTATATGTGAAAGTGAAAAGCAATATTTTCTATATGAGAAAAGGAAATTGGAAAACAAGTTTCTTTCTGTTTTTCATTCAGGATAGAACTGTAGAATTACGTACCTTATCACGTATACCGTATTCGAGTGCGTAAAGCATAATAAAACAAAAATTCTAATAATCATACTAACAATTCTACCTTATTACATAATTCAAAGTTGTTAAAATAAAACAAAAACAATCACGGAGAAAGCAAAATACAAAAAAATAACAATTTGTCATGAACGACAGTCAGTAAAATGTAGCAAATTGCTATCAAACTTTAATAAACTATCGAATATCTTTTTCATAATACATTTTACTGAATAATTATTCCCTTGACGCAACTAATTTTCCTTGATTTTGGATTTTATAAAACAGTCTACGAAAATTGATATTTGCATAAACATCTGCAGTCTATCTATTACGTTTTAAAAGCTGTAATTAAGATTATGACAGTTATAGATTTACTTACGTAACAATTAATATGTATCCATTTTCTAACATTTTCTTTTCTTTTGGTTGCAGGGAGGAATTGGTAGAGGAAACAGTTGAATTTAAAGAGGTCTAAGTTTCCATGTTACCATTTTTCTCGCAAGTACAACGATGCACTTGCAGGAAGCAATTACACCCTTTCTCATCATTCCACAGGCAAGAGTATTAAGGTAAGGTTACCGAGAAATAACACGTAATTACATACTATGATATTAAGTCGGTATTTTAATACAGGATGCGGCACAATTCCTGGTACGAGCGAGCACGAAGTGATTTCTCGTACAAAAATAAGCTGAAATTGTAGAATAAATTATTTTTATATGAAGCTTCGTTTTCGAGAAAAATCCAATCGAAGAACGTGACTGTTGAATTGACAGTATTGGAATTGTATCTTGGCTCCCAAGGTCCCCGGAGCTTACTCCACTCGACTTTTATTTATGGGGACATGTAAAATCTTTAGTTCCTGTTACAAATGGTGTAAGTGTTGTTCAATTGCAGGGGAAAATTGTAATAGCATTTGAACAATTAAAATGTTACCATACCTTAGTAAGAATTCATGAATCAATAATATAATTAGAAGAGTACATTAGTGTAAGGTCGATTGATAGTTAGAGAAATTGTTGCATTCTTCAATGTTTCAATAAAAAATTTGTTTTCATTAAATCTTCTCATCACATTGATTTAAATTTGTGAAGATACCCTGGCTCTGATTGGAAATGAATGTTGATTTATAAGTGGGTTATAAATATGAAACGAAGTGTAGTATATATTCAACAGCCAGACCAACATTTTCAACAATTTTTCATTAATAAAATAAAGGGATTAAATACAACTAGACGAGTAGAAGTCTATTGTCTATAGTCAGACAAAAGTGCACGCATACTTGATGAAATTTCTAAATCGTTTTTCTCGAAAACAAAGACTCATATGAAAGAAATTTATTCTATAATTTTAGCTGATTTTTGCATAAGGAATCACTCTATTCTGTTCTCGTTTGTATCGACAATTTTTTGAAATACAAAGTAAAGGTAATATTACAAGGAATTAACCATGTAAACTACTTTACTATTTCTATCTGAAAAATGATTTTGAAAAGCAATTTTATTTTATGTTATGTCATTTACGACTTCAATTACAGTATTTCTACGAAGTAGAAATTATTTTCGAGATTAGTTCAAGAGGATATTCACTCAAATAAAATACCATAAAAATTCAGTTGATTCCGTATTAAGGAAGGTAATTACTTAAAAAAACATCATTTGCTTGTTCAAAATAAAATAACGTAAATTTTATTTGAATAACCGTATTACAAATGTTTTATTCAAATACACTTTAATAATAATTTTAGAAGAAATATGATAATAATAAAAGAATCAATTGGTCATCCTTTAAATTCTACAGAATCATGTTTTCGATCGTTTGATCTATAGGAAGTAAAATCGTGTAAATTATATGTTTATATTTTGAAACGTACATTGAATATATGATTGCATTCTTAGAACAGTAATGATTAAAGTGTCATTAATGTCTTAAAGTACTACATGTGAGCGTGCAAGCTATTACTCAACGACGATTTGCGTGAATAATTTCACAGCTCACAAATATACGTCGCAGAGCTGTTAAGTCTTATCATTCAATTTTCCTCAAACTGCATAAAGAAGTAGTATCAATTTACATTAATAGATTGCCTCGCCTCCTATTGTGTTTTAAAAACTAATAACGATGCAAAGTAGAATGCAACAGTTCACCGGAAACTCTAAAACTTCTCAAATGCTGTTTCGAAGTTTGAAAATTCCAAAACGGAAAGATTATAAGATTAAGTAAATGTGTTGTTATTTTTATCATTCTGATCACTATTTCTTACTGCATATAATTTTTGTTTTCTGCTTGTTTTAGTGTATGTTTCGACGGTAGAGTCACTTAACAACTGTTTAAAATAAAGTAATATACATAGGTGTAAATCACGAATTGTGATAACTAAACTGATTATTATACAAATTCACAAACGCAGGAATTGAATAAGAATGTGTTCCTTTGATGAATGACTCCCGTATAACAAAGATAATACAAGCCTTTATTAAATTAAATTAACTCATACTTTGTTCATTTTGCTTCGTAGGAAGTGTTGAATAAATTGAGTCATTGTTACAAATGGACTTATACCAGTTTCAGAAAAAAAATATTTACGCAATTCCATTTAACAGCCAAATTTCTTTTTTTCATTCGTAAGGATATTTTCCTGTATAGACTTTGTTATTGTAAATTTAAAAAGAAGACATCTATCTATAGGTAAAATTAGTTTTAACTCATCGTTTTCCAAATTGAGCTTGTACCGCTTTAGAAAAAAAAACGACTTATAGTTTCCTCCAATTTCAGTACTCCTTTTGTTTGATTATATTTGATTTACTATCTTCCAACCTTCTTACTTCCTGTCTTGCTTATTTACCTGCCTCGAGATGACGTCTTTGTGCTCTTTCATTTTTACACTTTTTTTTCTTCCTTTCCCTAATAAACCTATCTCTACAGAACGACTCTCAACCACTTCCCCTTAAACCTCTTCCTTCTTCGTTAAGATTATATTAAAGTCTGATGTAAATAATTTTTTACCTATTGCCACATTAAAAATAATATCGTCAATTGATGATAAAAATCAAACGTGTGTGCATTTAATTTTTTGTCATTGTGTATTTCATTTGACTTTATCTATAAGATACGGCGATTGGCATTTGATTGCGTTCGCACTATATGTTTAAAATGACTACTTTGAGTTTCAACGCACACTTGTAGAACCCTTATTATTAATTTTCTTACTGTTTTGGTTACTTCCAGCTGTGAATCAAATTTGCTGGAAACCTTTTCAATTCTATAACGTAGTGTTTCAACATTTTTCATAAATCGTCTATTAGAACGAAGAAGTCGTTGTATCTCATGAACAAACGTCATACAGAATATACGCTCCCATTCGGATGTATTCGAACATTTTTGAAATATACAATAAACCTGAAAGATCATCACAAGATCATCATGAATCACAAAGTTATTGAAGCTATTAACGATAACATATATTGTTTAGAAAATATTAATTATTGTTTAGTAAAAAGAAGCGGTGCAAAATGTGTACCTGTATAAAATATCACAAATATTCCACTCAGAATAGATATCTTAATATTTATGGACGGAATAATATGTTTATATAAATGTTCGTAGGCAGTTACAGAACATTGATATGTCAAAAAAAATATCGTATTTTTGGGAATTTATTTTAAAGTGACAAAAATACTTCTTCCAATCACAATTTTTCAATAAAGAGAGAGATATGTATGAATAATATATACAAATTTTCTTTTCAATTTTCCTTCAAATACAAATATGACGTACGTGATTTCTGATGAGCAGGTTTATGAAACGAAATTTAAACAGTGGAATATTAAATAAATTTAAGTTGTCTATTGATCGTCGTAGGATCTTTCCGTTTGGTTGAAAAATAACCGAATGGTAACACTTTGAAGCAAAAAGTTCATTGTTTTATAAGAAAATGGTCCTTTATTTACGCATATGCTAGATAAAAATTACAATATAAAGCAAAGAAATAAAATACTACTCATGGACATTGTATTTCTTACTCGTATTTATCCATTATTAAGGAACGCTGATTTCACATATGTTTTTCACGTTTTTGTAGAAGAAGCAGTATACGTTTCTTCCATTTTATTGAAACATTTACATACGCAAGTAATAAAATACAATATAAGAGTCCCTTATTAATACCTGTGTTTCTTAATTAAGTTAAGACTAGAACTACCAACCCTATCAAAATGACGTATTTCAAATTTCTCATTTTACAATCACTGAAATCATGAAGAATACTTTCATAGGAATTTATGTTAGTCTTTAATCTATTATACACATTATATTATTTATACTATGCTATGTTGTATTATATATTACAGACATTAATCTATTATACAATTTAATTTACTTAGCATACATTCAGTGCTGATAGTTGATAAATATAATACGGGACATTTTGTATAATTGCGAATACTGTCGTGGATGTCAATGTTGATAAATATAATACGGGACATTTTGTATAATTGCGAATACTGTCGTGGATACAAAGACTTTAATAACAGAAAGAATCTTAAAATATACTAAGCCACTCATTGTCAGGACCTGACGCAATTGAGAGACACCTGCACTCAATGTTCGTTGTTCGTGACAATGAATGACTCATCGTCGCTCAGGAGGTTCGCTCTTTCATCCACTCTCATCCTTCATAGAGATAAGCTTACCACAGGCTTTGTTTTTGATGATGAACACGCTATATCCCATCCAGTCAGCGGATTTCCCACTTATTCATATTCTTTCTGTTTTTCTCCGAATGCTTGAAGAATTCTTTCCAGTCGAAACTTGTAAAATATCCCAATTTGATCCCAATTGTTGGTACGAAAAAACAGTCTGCTTGGCGATAATTAGGCTGGTAGTCACTTTCTACGGAATCCACCGTCGAGGAATTATTGGCATAATATTTTCGGAACATGGAACATGTCAATGTTAAATATTTAAAACGATTCTGGTTCAACTGTCTTTCTAACCCATTAACCGCGCACAATCGAATTAACTCAAGCAAGCGGTATTACGTTGCGAAAAAACCGTGGGGTTAATAACGGTTTTACAATCGTGAATTGGTCGTGTATCGCTTGTTTGTTATGCCTCATTTACCTCTTACGCTAACCTACGGCAGAGGTATGCAATGCAGATAATTTTTCTGCCTCCAGCTTTTAATTTTAAATATTTGTAGATCAATCGGCCAGACATACTCTAATATAATTACTTAAAAATCGTAAAAGTGTACTATCTGTGTGATTATTAAAATATAATAAAAACTTCAGATATAATAACTTCTTTAGAGATGCAAAAATCAAAATCTAATTTATTCGTATTCTAGATTTTGACATATAGTTTGCACATATAAACGTACAAGAAAAGAAACAATTCCTTAATAGTGCAGTAATCATCTATGATCCGCAGGGTTGAAAGTGTTAAACAACAATTTTTTTTAATTACTTCTACCGCAAATGGAGTTACTAATGGTCTGCTTTAAATTGTTAGCTTAGAAGTTTCATTCATTTGGTATTTGCTTGCTTCGAGTTAATACTGCTTTGATTAT